GGGCCGCGGGTTAACCGCGGCCCGTGGGGGTGCAACCCGCGAAGCCCGCGGGTTACACCTCCTTGGCCCGTGAACCGCCCGCACGGGTCACGGGTCGGCCCGCGGTCCCGGTTTTTACGGGCCGGTTTTTACGGGTCATGGCCGGCCCGTCCGTCTTGACACCTCTAGTCAAATCTAGTTAGGTTCTATAATATTTTCATGAGGTAGAATGGACTATTGTGCAATATCTGCCAGGAAAAGAGAAGAATTGTTTTACAGCCAGAAGCTCACTGCATATTATATTATCCTTGCCAATGTCTGCAAGATAAAATGAATTTCTATTATTCAAAATTGAAACAGTAAATTTGAAAGATTAGGGGCCATTCAATTGATGCCACTGGTTTTTGTAGCGAAATTTTATTGTTCTCGATGCAAAAATTGGTGAAGAAACTTGGCAAATAAAATGCTCGTTTCCATGTTCAAAACACTAAAAATATTTATGGATTGCAACTGATGGAATTATAAATCATGCTAACAGATATGAGAAATCTGGTAATGAGCAGTTTGTCACCGAACTCAGCAAATGGGTCTTCCATGCGAGGGGTCATCTGAAGGTAATCTATATTAGTCCATATAGTATTCTCATCATATATCCTATTTGCATACTAAGTTATGCTTCTATAGGTTCTTCGATTTGTTTAGAAAAGAAAGGAAAATATCCACTTGCATAGTTGATTAACTCATGATTGATTGTCTCAGGCTGTCAATCTTAAGCACAACAAGGTTGGGGGAACAGAGGAACCTTCAATGTATAGGATAAATGATGATCTGGTAATTCCACATATTTGATTGTGTCCTGCTTTGAAAATGAACATAATGGAGTCTGTAAGGTGGAAAAACTTTGCGATTCAAACCTTCCACCTCCCAAAGAAAAAGAAAGACAGCGAACAATAGATTAAAAAGGAATTACAAAAAATGGAACTTCCATTTTCTTACGAGTTTGATATTCTTGTAGGAATTTTCTGTTGAAATCTTTGAGTGGACTGGTTCTAGCTGGGTACCATATGTTGCGGATGACGTCCAAGTGCAGTTCTACATGATGAGCCCCTATGTCTTGAAAACCTTGTCTACTAATCAGAAGGTTACAGACAAACTTATATCCATATTTACATGGATTCGCTGTTTCACATATTTATACATTTCTGCTTCAGGGGCTCTATCACACTTCTTTCGAGGTACCAGATGTATATGGAGTTTTCCAGTTCAAAGTTGAGTATCAAAGGCTTGGATACACTAGCCTCTCACTTTCAAAGCAGGTAAGCCAGCGAAACCCGCCTAATAAACGGTTCAAGATGAAAAAATTTCTTGCTATAGTTGTTTAAAAATAAACAAATTAAACATACACATGCACGTGCGTGTGCTCCTTACATTCAATAGTAACGGACACCTTCCCTTTTAATGGATGTTTCCAAATATTGCAAATGAGGGAAATGTGTATTTTGTTACTCTCTTTACAAAACAACCCCTTTATTTAAAGTGGGATTGGAGCCTGTGTTCTACATTTTTGGGTAAAATAGGTGAGGAATCTATAAATTTTGTGTCCTAAACTTGATCTGTGCCTAGCTATTCACTTCAAAATGAGCTGCAAGGAGTATCTACATATTGGGCTGGAAGATGGATTTTGTTTGATATGAAATAAGTTCATGCTAAATGCGAAAGATAAATTTTTGGCGGTCCTTATTTTGATTTTCTGTTATTCTTACAATGCTAGGGGAGGAATTGTCTGCACAATCTTATACATTTAGAGGCAAACATGGATGCTGGAAGAAACTAAGCCCCTGTTTGACAGATTTTTTTGGAAAGAATCAGTTTTTGAATAATAAATTTTTGGAGAATGTGGGGGTTAAAAAATAGGGAAAAGTTTTGGGTTTACCGATTACGTGAATAATATTTTATGTGAGAATGTGTAGTTGAAAATGAGTATGAGAAACAAAGAGTTTTGAAAGAATAGTTGTCAAACAGGGGCTAAATATGTGTATCTGCCTCGTGTTAGTTCAAGACCCACCCTCCACCCTTACCATAAAAAAGAATGGTAAAAATAAAGAAGAGCATTAAAGTGAGAACGTAAAAGTAAATTGCCCAAACTCTGATTTGTTCTTCTATACAAGGGTTACAAGCTAACCAACACCCTTCCTTTTAAAGCAAGCTATGAGTAACTTGTGTTACATTATGAGATTTTGACATTTTTTTGCAGATTCCAGTGAGACCCTTCCGACACAACGAATATGAGAGATTCATAACGACAGCTTTTCCCTATTACGGAGCTTCATTTTCTATGGTAATATATCTCACTGAGTTTGAGTCTTAACAATATTTCTAAATTATGCATCCAAAATCTTGCTCGTTGAAAGATTATTGTTAATGTTTCAACCTAACGAAGACATTTGACAAATTCCAGATGGCGGGATTCTTCATCTTTAGCATTGTGTACCTTTACAGCAAGTAAAAACCTCGAACATTGCTTTGACTATGGGATAATTGTAGGACTCTATTTCCTCAAAGCTTTCTTCCATTAATGTCTGGGAAGATTAAGGATCTTTCACATTTACTCCTCGCAAAAGGTGTTTGCTAGTTGCTACATAGATATTTCAGAGCATAATTTTGATTGTTTAATACTCCAACATCTACTAGATATTCACTGATACTGCAGTTGTAATGCCAGTTTTGAATTGAGAAGAGACGAATGGTTTAGACTTTTAATTGATCTCATACAAATTTTGGTTTTTAAGTGAGTTAATTTAGCCTTTATTTGAGCCTCATTTTTATGTTAAAATGCATTTTATAACAGTGATTTTTTGGAGAATGTGTGTTTAAAAAGTAAGGAAAAATTTTGGATTTACGTGCAAATTATTTTATTGGTAGAGTGTGTAGTTGAAAATGAGTATGAAAAAAATGAGTTATTGAATAATGGGGCTCAAATAAGGGCTTATTTTAACCATTTTTTGGTTATCTAGTAATATTGTAAGAATTTTTTTGATGAGGTTTTAATTCATAGCCCCTTTTTTTTATTTTTTTATTTTTAGTAAAATATCCTAGCTTGAAAATACAAGTCGTAGGATATGAATTTATTCATGAAAGATCAAATACAATGCAAAGAGGGGGACAGAAAGCCTTACCTCCAAGAGTTCAACAACATCTCTACACATACTACTAATGAAATACATCACGTGCAGCTTTACTACAACAAAATGCAAGATCAGACTAAGTTACTAATCTGATATTAGCCAAACCAATTCTATCTAGCCTCACAATACCTTTGATTCTTCCCAAGAACTCGTTTGCTTCAATTAACCTGAACTTCCCATCATCATAACCTTTGGAAGCAAACTAGAACTCGTTTGCTTCAATTAACCTAAACTTCCTATCATCATAACCTTTGGAAGCAAACCAGTCGGCAGCTTGATTGCCCTCCCTCCAAGTATGAGTAAGTTTGTTCTCCATCTTATCCAGCAGCCATCTAATGGATTGCAATGTGTATTGGACTCCCCATGGTCCATTGTTATGCTTAATCAATGTAATGGCCACCTTAGAATCAGACTCAACCCATACTTTCCTGATTCCCTGTGACCAGCACAACTTTAGACCAGTTTCCATGGCTCTAAGTTCAGCTTCCAATATAGATCCTTCTCCATAATAATCATAGAATCCCCATATGGGAATCCCCAAGCTATTCCTCCGTAGTCCCCCACCTGCAGTCTGAAAATCATCCTTCATAGCCCCATCCGTATTAAGTTTAAACCATCCAAGCTCAGGTTTGATCCACTTGACTGCTGTAGGTATTTTTTGCCTGATCCTCCCAGCCAGTTGAATCCCGCCTGCTCTTATGAGTGCATTGATCAGGATATAAACTTGCTTGATTATCCTGTCTGCCCTGACAGTATAGTGCTTTTGCTTTGCATTGTTTCTGGCCAGCCAGAGAAACCAGATGACAATAAGTGGAACAGCATTTCTAATCTCACCCGGCGTAGCATTTTTTTGGAGAAACCAGTGCATAAGTAAAGTTCTGGGATGATTACCTCTAACATCTTGCACCTTCATAGCCCCTGTTTGATGGGGGATTAAAATCAGAATAATGTTATTCATAATGAAGACTATCGATAGTCTTTCTATGTGGCATGTGTCGATTTGTTATTTGATACATTATGTAGCATGTATCAAATAACAAAGCGACACATATATGTTACGCAGGAAGACTATCAGTAATCTTCACTATAGATATCATTACTTTTAAAATCAAATTTTTAGTAGATTTTGATGAAATGTGTGGTTGAAAATTTGTGGACTTAGAAAAATGTATGATTAAAATTAATTTTTGACTTTGATTTTAATTTCTACCAAACATTTGCATAATATAATAACACGGCTTGTTAGTTTGCAACGAATGTCCCTCGATAATTTTTTTTTCAAAAGAAATGAAGTAAGAGTGACCACAAATTAAAAAGAAAAAAAATAGTAAAATCATTTCGTGTAGTCAGTCAAATCAACAATTATTTTTTATATCAATTGCAATTCCTTTATTTTCAACTTTTTGGTCATTTAAAAATAAAAAAAGTCGTAAGCAGTCATTTTGAATATCTTAATTAAATATTATGCAAATGGAGTGTTGAATCGACACTGAAATGACAAAGTCACACTCTGCATTAAGAAAAGAAAACATTAGTTTGACAAGTTACTTTATAATTAATGTTTGGTATCTACCACAATTAAGTTATATTGTTCTTGTTTGACTTTCAATTTTCTTTTTTAAAATTCATTTATAATCACGTATTTTATGAAATCTACAAATTTTTTTAATTTTTAATTACAAATTTCATTAAATTTTATCAAACTTCACTAAAAGTTTTTTTTTAGAAAAACTAATGGACCGTTCTCTTTGTATTTCAGTTTTATGTTTTGAGTTTTGAACTCATTTTGGATTTTGTGTTTTGAGTGTCCATTTTGAGATTGTTGAAAATCTGTTCTTTTTGACATTTTGAAAAATTGTTTTGAAAACACTAAAAACGCGTTTCGAAAATTTTGGTTTGATTAAAACTGAAAACATCCAAAACGACAATTTGTTGTTTTGAATTTTCTTTGTAATTTTTTAACATATTTTCAAAAATGCGTTTTCGAAAATAGGAAAGCGAACGCGTATTCACTGTTTTAAAAAATCGAAAACAGAAAAAAAACTTGAAAATAATAAAGATAACATGCCATAAACAATTGCTGAGTAGATCGAAAGGTTCGCACATAGCGACATCGAAATTGGGTAGATAACGTTGAATTTTGTTAGTACCTAATAATATATAATATTCTGAATCTTGTCATTAAGTTGATTAATTTTTAACATTATATCCAATTGTTTCTATAGCCTCAATAAAAATAAATAAATAAATAAATAAGAAATGATTCATCAAATAAATAAGTGGACATTATTATTATATATTTAGTAAAAGTTACACATTTGACTGGTCGATTAAAAATGTGAGTCCCATCCCACCGCATCTTATTGCAATTGTAACTTGTATGACTTGCAAATATTTAAATAATTTTAAATTTTCTCTCACTAAATAAAGAATTAAAATCATTTTTGGTTTCAATCACAATCGAGCCATTTTAAATTATTGCAGACACTGTCAAATCATTATCTAACATTAAATTTTACGCATAGTTGACAACGTTTTTAGGCTTTAGCAATGGTTCAAAATTTCAATTTTTACGGAAACTTTTCTGTTCCCTGCCCTTGAATTTAGCAGGTTTACTTCAAATGTATTTGAATAATATTTGATTCATTGAATGAAGATGAATTCATGTTTGATTCGTTGAATGAAGATGAATTCAAGAGTGAGATTTATGTACAACTTTGTTTCTTTCCATTTTTTCAAAATTTGGATATTTTGTTGAGACCGATAACTATCAACAGGATCAAACGAGAAATGATGATCAACGTGATCGAAAATTTAATTTGAGCACATCGACAAGACAAATTTTCTTCCTTCTATAATGTTTAAAGGCAGTCAATAAACGTGTCGTAAGATAGAATCAGTTTCGTCTCTTACAAAATCAGCACAACAATCTATAAGAATTTCAATGAACTCAACGTAGTATTTTTCATTATCAAAATGTAGAGAGATGGTGAAATTCAAAGTTGGAATATTTGCAATGAACATGGTATAATTTTTGCAGCAAAAAGACATACTATTTTTAGATTTATTCGTGTCCGTTTGTACAGATTACAAGCATCTTACGAACAATGATGATCGTTCAGACAATCTTTCAAACGAATAGACATGTATATTCAAACTGAAATCACGCGTCTGTTACATTCGGTTAACAGACGTGTGGGTTTTAGGTCGAACCCTATAGAATCTAAGTCTACCCTTCTAAAGACTAGCGGTACCTTGGAGCCTGAACTCAACTTTCACCATATTAAACAACAAACAATTTTTCCTTAAGTTTTTCTACCTGGGATAAGAGTTTAGCAATTCCAATTAGATTCTAACTTATTTAAAGTTTTAAGTAGGTAGGATGTCCCTGAAATTTTGATGGATTTTAAAGAATTATAAATTTTAATGAATTTTGTGGATTTGAATAAATTTTCACAAAATTCATAAGTATCTTATTAGAAATGTTGAAATTTGAAAAGAGTTTGTTACATGTAATTTTAAGTTTGAAATCTATCCAAATCTTTTAAATGTATATAAATCCATGAGTAATTGAGAACACTTAAGGATTAATTGGAGACACCTAAATTTAGGAAGTTTTTAAAAATCAATCAAAATCTCAATTGATGACACCCTTAGATTCAATTATTTAATTTAATTTTAATTTTTTTTGATAAATAAATATACCATGTTAATTACTTTAAGGAACATAACATGAATATGCTTGGTCCTATTAATTTTGGAGTAGAATATGAATATGCTTGATTCCATTAATTTCAGAGTACGGATCTTACTAAAATTTGACCTCAAAATTACCCAATTTTACTAAAAATTAAGCCTTTGTTTGATGGCGATTATAATTAGTTTTTTAGTAAATTTTGATAAAAAAATGATAAAATGTGTGGTTAGAAAGTTGTAGATCTCATAAAATGTGTGGTTAAAATTAAAGGAACAATACATAAACCAGATTTTTAGTACACACCATTTCAATTTTACAATATGTACTTTCAATTTTCATAAATCAGGTTCTAACTGAATATATAATAGAAAGTATATATATTATATATTCTATATAGAATAATCATAAATTTGGTATGATTAAATACTGTCCCTGAAACTATGGATTCCGTTACAATTTGAAAAACATTATTCCTCTAAAACACCTCAACCTCATCTCTAGAAACAGCCGATCGTCCAGAAGACATCATTTTACTCTGCAATTGGAAATTACTTGGTGCCGAGGTCACAGATAAGCCGAATTCATAGGATTACAAAATAATTCGAATTATTGGTGCAAGGAGGTCGCAATTATTTCAGCTGAAGTCACCTCTGGATACGGCCGATAGTCTATAATGACGCCTCGTTTTCTGCAATTGGAAAATATTGGTGCAAGGAGGTCACAAAATAATCTGAATTTAGGACGCCATTGTTCTCTGTACAAATGTACGTGTTCCTCGTACTATTATGGTTTTATGTTGCATTGATTTCAAATCCCAAATTATTGTAAAATGATGACAATCACACATTGCAGATACTTTGTTTGTCTGTGATGTGTGTGGATTTGAGATCGAAATTGTTCGTGTGACATTAAATTTACTGTAATGATGCCCGTCATTTTTTATGAAGTGCTACTCAGAGAATCTATGTGACTGAAATGTATCCATATCACCATGATATGAATCTGTGATCTTAGTGTGTCTATGTGACCATGATTTCGTTTCTCACAAAAAATTATCATTGTGACCGGAATCTACCATTGTGGCCATCATTCATGGAAAGTAGTGAAAATTTATGTAAAAATTGTCGAGCTAATGTGAAACATTGCGACCTTCATATGATTGAATTGTGACCTGTGTGACTGAAATTTTTCCATATCACCATGATATGAATCTGTGATCTTAGTGTGTCTATGTGACCATGATTTCGTTTTTGACAGAAAATTATCACTGTGACCTGAATATACCATTGTGACAATCATTTTGGAAAGTAGTAAAAATGTATGTAAAAATTGTCGTGCTAATGTGAAACATTGTGACCTTCATCTGATTGAATTGTGACCTTATTGACATTTCTTGTGCATTAAAACGGAAATGGGTTACGTGCATGTCTGCTTGATTTATGGAGAACAATGTGTAGAAGAGGGCAAGGTGTTTCGTAATAAGGAGATTTTGAAAATAAGCTTGTCTTTTTATGCCATACAAAATATGTTTGAATTTCTGATTGTTTGATCAGACAAGGGAGAGTATATTATCAAATGTTCCCATGATGAGTGCAATTGGATATGCAGATCTTCAAGGATGGGGGAAAACAGAGCTCTTTAAGATTAGAAATATTAGTGATGGTCACACGTGTTCTTTAAACATAATATTAGGATCTCACGACAGGTCACAACGTCCGTAGTGTCCTCCTTCATCAAGTATAAGTATACATCGTTCTGTACTCTATATTCACATATTCTATTCAATACATGTTATTCACAATCTCCAACCAGAATACATATGAATGAAAAGCCCAACCTTATAATACAAACACATCATTCTGCAATCAAACCTTTAGGTCACAAATGGAACAAATAACTGTGACCCAACTGATACTGTTATATTCAAATAGTAGAATTAGGTCACAAGTTGAAAACGGTAGTTCACAAATGAACATCCAATAATAACAAGGTACTACAAATTCACTTACATTCTTCTATTTTGATCTCGATTTTCTGGGCATTTCTTCACGGAATCCCTTTTTCACTTTCGGCCGCGATTCAGCTGGCGTTTGGGGGATTTCTTTACGAACTCCCTTTGACACAAGTGACTTTCTTCCCTTTCCTTGTGCAGTTTCGTGTGCGTCCCCGGCTCCGGATTATGCCTTCTGATCACAACTTCTTGTTAACGCCATTTCCTCTATTTTCCAGTCATAAGCCTCCGTCACCACCTTCTCCTTACACCCACTTTTCCTTAGCACCACCGTTACCTCTCCCTTGAATAATGTAGGTATTTAGTCAATAATCAATTTGAGTTTTTTGGATTGAGGGATGGAGGGTTTGATTATAAGCGGTTTTTTTTTTTTTGAATTGAGGCAAGGTTTGGAGATTAAGCAGTTATTAGCGATATTCTTTACGTATTTAAACCGTCATCTCTCTTCATTTTTAACGTAAATCGCGGTAGTGGTTAGTTAATTAAAAATTGATTTAAATAATTCACAGAAACCTGATTTATGTATTACTAAAATTGATCCTGGATTAATGAAAATGGTATCTTAAAAACTTGTCAAGGTGTAAGTTCCTCTAAAATTAATTGTTGATTTTGACTTAAAAAAGGGAACATGGGCTAAACCATTTACAACAAGAGGAAATTACATAATTCCAGGTATTTGAAAATCACAGTGCAAAAATCAGGTGAGAAGTTTTTATAATCAAAATTCAGGTATCCACCCAAGCCCTAATATAATCTCTCTCCCTCATCTCGACATCTCTTATTTCTCTCCTCTCCACTCTCTCTCTCTTTGACCTCTCATCGAAGCCTGCGGTCCATTCAAACTTCAGAAACCGACGACGAAGGGATGCGCCGCCGACACTGTTGGTCGAAGGGTGATGCTGAGCTAATTCCACCCTTCGACGAACAGATCGCTACTGCGAACTCGACGAACGGCAAACAGCAAGTCTTGGGCTGTGAGTGGTGGCCATTACACACAACAGCAGTATCGAACGTCTCATCCTGACTTAGCCCACACATCCTTGACTCAACCGACAACCATCCACATTATTTCGTTGAACTCGGACGACCGGCGACACTACTGCGAATGCCAGCAATCCGACGCTCAATCCCGCAGGTGACCACCGTGTTTGGTTTCACCTTTTCCAGCTTCCCACCTGTGAGATCTACGATATTTTGGGGAATTTAAATTTTTCTCGTCTCTCTCTTTTTCTGATTTTGTGGTGGCTGGAGTTGGGGGTAGATCTTGTGGTGTATTGAAAGTGCAAATGGTGGTGGCGGACTTGATGACTTGTTGGTGGGGTGGTGGCTGTGGTGCGGTACTTTTGGGAGATGGGGGTGGATTTTGGAAGGCGATAGTGGTGCAGAGGTGTGGTGGAGGTGCTGTGCACGGTGGCGGTACTGTGGTGCAGTGGAGGTCTTCTGGTGCTGTGGAACGGAGAGCTCTGGTGAGTGCGACGGTGGTGTAGTTTTGTGGGTATGTTCGTGGTGCTGCGGGTGGCAGTCGACAGTGGTGCAGGTGGAGGATCAGGCGAATTTGGTGATTTGGTGTGCGGGTGTGTTGCTTCGACGCTGTGGGTGTGGCGGATTGGCGTTCGTTTGTTGTTGGCGGATCTGTGGGGTGGCGGATTGGTGGTTGACTATTTATGTTTGCGGTCGTTGGTGGCGGATCTATTGTTGGTGGTTGGCTGTTGGTGGTGGCGGATCTGTTGTTGTTGGGGTTCAGTTTTTGTCCTGTGGCTGGTTAATTTGTGTTGGTCGATCTGTGACCTGTGATCAAGCGGCGGTAGTATGTGATCAAATGTTTGGTAATATCTGTGACCAATTACTCAACTGTGACCTAAAAATTTAATAATACGTGACTCAAAAATAATCTGTGACTAACTAATTTTAAAATCTGTGATCTCGAAATAATCTGTGACCTCAAAATAATATGATATGTAACCTTGAAATAATTTGGGATAAAAAAATTGACGATATGTGACCAGTAAATAAATTTGTAACTTATAATTATGAATATGTGACCATTAATCACAAACTGTGACTTTATTATCTTTATTTAATAAATATTTTGAATTAATTAAATTCATACCTGATTTTTGAATTTTCAAACTATTTCCTTTACTTTTGAATTGTGGTAGAGAATACACCTTAGATATGAATTTTTACCTTACAACAATTGGGTTTATCCACTTTGCCAGGCCAATGGTGTAGCAAGGTCCACAACAATTTTAAAGCTAATGGAGAACAGAAATTGCAACTTTCTTTTTGAACTGTCACATCCCAATGATCCCATAACGAATTTTGCAATTATAATATTGAAGAGCGCAATTAAACGAAAACATAACCGTCCAATTCATTCCAGTTAATCATGCCGATAAATGAATCAGCAACACAAAACCACGTATGAATTGCAATATATACCGCACTTGTTTCAAGTTGACGTAATTTTATGGGAATTGCATTATAATTTTATTTTCTACATTGACTATCGCTCATCCATTGCTTTGAAATCCTCTCGGTTCTCTCTATAAAGCCTAGAGATATTCACGCGCACTTTACCTACAGAGTGAAGCAAATTTGTATGCAATAATTTTGTTAGCAAGCAAGAATGAGTCTTGTGAATCCAATCACAACATGGTATCAGACAAAGTTCATGAACGATCTTTCAAGCAGCAGATTCAGATCCGTACACGTTTTTTCTTTTCTTCCTCATCCACTGAAGAATAATAAACTGCCCATTTCTTACCTTTCCCCAAATCCCACAAAAAAATTCATATCAGCAATTTTAACCAAAGAACAAGGCAGCAAAAGCATAAGCCAAGAAGAGCCCACTTTCGATTTCAATGCTTATATGTTTGACAAGGCAAGTTCTGTAAACAGGGCTTTGGACAATGCAGTCTTGTTGAAGGAGCCTTTGATAATTCACGAATCCATGAGATATTCACTTCTTGCTGGAGGCAAAAGGGTTCGGCCTATGCTGTGTATTGCTGCGTGTGAGCTTGTGGGTGGGGATGAATCCACTGCTATGCCTGCAGCTTGTGCTGTTGAAATGATCCACACCATGTCTTTGATTCATGATGATCTTCCATGTATGGATAATGATGATTTGCGGCGGGGGAAGCCCACAAATCACAAAGTGTTCGGTGAAAATGTGGCTGTTTTGACTGGTGATGCACTTCTTTCATTTGCCTTTGAGCACATGGCCACTGCAACAAAAGGGGTGTCTTCAGATAGGATGGTCAGAATGGTAGGAGAATTGGCAAATTGTGTTGGATCAGAAGGACTAGTGGCTGGACAGATAGTTGATATATTCTCAGAGGGATTACCCGATGTGGGATTAGAGCATTTGGAATACATTCATATACACAAAACTGCAGTTTTATTAGAGGCATCAGTGGTTCTTGGTGCTATTTCAGGTGGTGCAAATGATGAAGAAATTGCTAAATTGAGAAAATTTTCTAGGTGTATTGGGCTCTTGTTTCAGGTGGTGGATGACATTCTTGACGTCACAAAATCTTCTCAAGAATTGGGGAAGACGGCCGGAAAAGATTTAGCGACTGATAAAATGACTTATCCAAAGCTTCTTGGCATTGAGAAATCTCGAGAATTCGCTGAGAAATTGAATAGGGAGGCTCGAGAACAGCTCGCTGGATTTGATCCTGAAAAGGCTGCTCCATTGATTGCCTTGACCAATTATATTGCTTATAGGAATAATTGATCTGTTATTACTGTATTTCTTTGTGGCTTCATCCCTGTTGATTCTCATAGATATGTAGCAAACTTGAGAAATAATACAAATCATTAAAGATGAGTTGTAATAATATCAAAGTTCTTGAATGCAAAATCTGAATTTTACGCCTCAGTCTTTCATTTTTGAGTTCGTCTGATGCGTTTTTAACCCATTAATGGCAATTATTAACAGGTCAAATATCAGTGCACTTGTTTCACCAATGGAGTGAAGCTCATGGAGCAATATTCTTAGATGCTGAATGCTGACAAGTGATAACTAAAGTTTGTTTCGTCCATTTTCAGAGTAAAAATTTTCGGACATTTTAATGTTAATATCCCTCTCAAAACTTCAAAATTGACCTTTCCAAGCATGGTTACAGAGCGCTACTCTGTATCAAGAAGAATCATCAGATACAAGATACCCCTCACCGAATTAACTAAAAATTTATGCAAGTTCCTTAGGGCCTGCTTAGGAATTTTGGGTACCCTGTTATGAATTTCTTTAAAGTATCGATTTTGAAAATTTACGAGGGATCCGATTTTGAGTGGTTTTTAGTAGCAATTTTTAAAATAGTCCAACATATACTTAAAAGTTTATCATTCAGAGATTCTGAATTCTTTTGTAAAAGAATTAAAAAGTTAAATATTTACTAATAATAAAAATTATAAGTAATTTTTTACTTGTAAATATATTTTGCAATTTTAAGTTTATTTTGTGCTTATATATAATTTTTTTACATATATTTTTTACTTATAAGCAATTTTTTAAAATATTTTATAAGTGATTTTTTGTTTTATTTTAGTAGTATTTTTACTTCATGAACAATTTTTACACAAAAGTGAATATCTTTTAAGTAATTTTTAATAAAATATTATTACAAAAAATTCAAAATTTCAAAGTAAACGCGTTTTTCATTTTTATGTTTTCAGGATGGCAAAAAGAACGCATTTTCAGAAATTTCAAAACAGACACTCAAAACACAAAATACAAAATGAATTCAAAACTTAAAACACAAAACTGAAACACGAAGAGAACGGGTCCTAAATATTTACTAATAATAAAAATTATAAGTAATTTTTTGACTTGTAAATATATTTTGCAATTTTAAGTTAATTTTGTGCTTATATATAATTTTTTTACATATATTTTTTACTTATAAGTGATTTTTGTTTTATTTTAGTAGTATTTTTACTTCATGAACAATTTTTACACACAAGTGAATATCTTTTAAGTAATTTTTTACTGATAAATAATTTTTTTAGTTATAAGTAATTTTTTTTTTTTTTTGCTTATAAATAATTTTTTCAATTAATGTATTTTATTTACGAGTTAGTTTTGAGGTAAGTAGAAAAAAATTATTTTAGAACATTTTCAAGAAACTCTCTGTTTATAAAAAAAGTCTTACGTATGATATAGAACATCTTTAACTCTCTATTTTGATTCTTTATTCTATTTTTTACAATGAACATTTATTGATTTTTCCTTATATCTTATAACATAATTTTTGTTATATGCTAATGTTCAATCAATTCAAATGTGATTTAAATTATTTAAATTGTAAAGTATTGAAATTTGAAATTTATTAAACGCATTTATTGTTAATTAAGAACAGAGAGTGAGTTTGTCTCTCTAAATTTTGAGAGCTAAACCCACTATTTATTTTAAAAAGTTAAAATAAGAAATTTCTTGAACTTATTTTGAAGAATCGATTCTTTAAAATAAATAATATCTTATAATTATGTTACCCAAAACGGTAAAAAAAAAACTCCCAAACAGCCCTAAATGTTGCAAAGAATCGTTAGTTACACGTTAGGTTGCACGAAAATGGGAAACAAAACACGACACAAAAATGCGGGGGAAATGTTTATATAAACAACGATTAATTTATTTATATAAATTCGATATTTTTTGAAAACAAATTTAATATTATTTAAGTATTTTAATGATATATAAGGAAAAAAAATTCTATAAATGTAAATGAAATAAATAATTGTTCATTCTACCTAGGATTTCTTCAAAGAAAATGTCATTTCTTCAAACAGAAGACGTCCAACAATTAATTGACACATTACAAGAATGAATTCTTTAGCCTGATTCTAAGCTTTTTCAAGTAATCCTTACTGCTCTAGTGTTCTGCTAAATTCTTGGCAAAAACAAGAATACCTAATCCAGAAGAAAAGAGATGAAATTCATAGTTCCACCAAGACTACGTTCCAATAAATTGTTTCTTTGGTTCCAAATTCAGAAAATAGATTCATTTCCTATTCACCTGTTTCTAATCCAACGAATCTTGATGATGGTGATCAAACTAGATTTCATCTTAAGGCCTATATGCTTCAAAAGATCAATGTTGTGAATAAGGCCTTTGATGCTGCTGTTCCCACTCAGAAACCCAACCAAGATCCATGAAGCAATGCGTTACTCTCCTCTCTGGTGGCAAACGGATCTGCCCCAAAGTTTGTTAGGAAATGATTCACCAAGAGAGGAAATAGAGTAGAAACCAACAATTAGAACCAGCAACACAATCAAGAAAAACCAGAATCAAAACTTAATTCATTAATGGGAATAAACAAAAGAAGAAGGTGAATTTATCTTTATGTTACCGAACATGGCTATTTCTCCATTTAGAATAGCATTTTCCAACAAATTTCTCATTAAGAGATAATACAAGTTTATCAGATTCATAAACACATTTTATGCCCGATTTTTTCAAGAGGTTATCACTAACTAAATTCGTATTCATATCAGGAACATGAAGTACATTGGTTAAAGTAATGGTCTTCCCGGAAGTGAAGATGATATCAACATTTCCCTTGCCAATTACTTTAGATCGCACCTCATTGCCCATTTGGATTTCTTGGTCTCCATCAATTTCATGATAAGTTTTAAATAAAGACTTAACATATGATACATGTATAGTTGCACATGTATTATACCACCAACCGGGAGCCTTTCCCTTGATAGCATTCACTTCACTAATGATGGCCACAATTTTATCTTTTTTGATGAAATTCACTTTACCCTCGAAGTTGTTTTGTTTTCGGTGTCTACATTCCTTTGCATAGTGCCCAGGTTTTCCACACACAAAACACCCTCCTTTGGTCTTCTTTTTGGACTTGTTGAAATTCATAGAAGGCTTTCTCTTGTTGGATTTCGCAGGCAGTTTAGTTTTCTCCACCGCTTTGGCTTTGGAAGTGCCTTCATAAAAAATTTCATTCTTATCTCTCATTATTGACTCTTCTTCAATGCGTAAATGTTTTTGCAATTGTTCCAAAGAGTAATCTTCGAAACTATGCATTATTTTCTTCAGGTATCCTTTCCAAGTTCCGGAGAGTATAGAAATTATAGCCCCTACTTGAAAGGTCTCCAGGATTTCAATCTTCACCGCCTTTAACTTGTTGACAAGCACTTGTAGTTCATGGATTTGCAGAAGTAATGGGATATTTTCTAGAAAAGGCTATTCTAGTGAAGGAATGGTCAAGCTATGTACAGTTGACAACTCTTTGAATAATAAAGTTGAATTTGCTTATGTTGTTAATTTATTTACTTTATGACATGCTAGATTATGTCACATTGGTAAAAGTACTATGCATAGAATGATGGAATGTGATTTAATTTCATATGATGCAAATAATGGTTTTAAATGCAAAACATGTGTAGAAGCTAAAATGACTAAAAGACCATATCAAAGTGTAAAATGAACCTCTAGTATCTTAGAGTTAATGTATTCAGATATATGTGAAATGAATGGCATGTTAATTAGAGGTGGTAATAGATGTTTTATTACCTTCATTGATGACTATACTAGATATACTTATGTCTATCTTATGAAGCATACATATGAAGCATTTAATGTGTTTAAGATTTATAAAAGTGAAGTTGAAAATCACTTAGGAAAGAAAATTAAAAACTTAAGAAGTGATAGAGGTAGAGAATATTTCTCGAGTGATTTTAATATGTATTGTGAACAATGTGGCATTATTCATCAATGTTCTGCACCTAGGACACCCGAACAAAATGGTTTGGTTGAAAGGAAAGATAGAACCTTAGTTGAAATGATTAATGCCATGCTTACATATGCTAAGTTGCCATTTAACTTGTGGGGTGAAGCTTTATTAAGTGCATGTAGAATATTGAATAAGATTCCATCGAAACATACTAAGGTTTCTCCTTACGAATTGTGGAAAGGAAGAAAGCCGAACATTGGATACTTCAAAGTGTGGAGGTGTCTCGCATATTGCAAGAACACGAACCCTAATAGGACCAAGTTGGGTCCAAGAGGCATTAAATGTGCCTTTATAGGGTATGCTAACAATAGCAAATCTTACATGTTATTAAATTTGGAGACCAATGTAATTATTGAATCAAATGATGTGGAGTTCTTTGAGGATTCGTTATCTTCGGATAATGAATTGAGGGAAATCAATAAAGATATCCGTAATTCAAGTAGAATACGAGATGAAATATCTTCTAAAGATGTTGATGAGTCTAGTGAACGACGAAGAAGTAAAAGAACTCGAATTGTAAAGTCCTTAGGATCGGATGAAATTGATTCTCAACTTATTTCTTTTTACTTTGTAGAGGGAGATGAGGTGAATGTTTAAGAACAATTCATTTTATTCTACAAGTGGAAACCGACCCTATAACTTATAGAGAAGCGATGGCTTTTCGTGATAGCTTCTTTTGGAAAGATGCAATCAAAGACTAAATTGATTCGATAATGTCAAATAATACTTGTGAGCTTGTCGATTTACCACCCGGATCCAAACCTATTGGATGTAAATGGGTGTTTAGGAGAAAGTATAACACTGATGGTTCTCTTAATAACTTTAAGGCTAGATTAATAGCTAAAGGATATCGACAAAAGGAAGGAATCGATTACTTTGACACTTATGCACCAGTAGCTAGAATAACATCGATTAGAATATCATCTGCACTATCTTCTATATATGACTTGCATGTTCATCAAATGGATGTCAGACAACATT